AATCATTGGGGTATTAAAATGACTTTGGTCATAAAATTTGGTCATTGATGAGGTGGAATATAGAATATTAATAAATAATTTTATGACAAAAATTTTTTGGTCATCTGATGGCTATACTCTAATAGTCATAGGTTACAATTTAGTACTCCGTAAAGACAAAACTCGTAAAAACTGGACCCATCGATTTATTTTTAATAGCTTTATCGTATCAACTTGAATTTATTCTAGGATGTGGGACTATCCTATGATATTTTTCTTGAATTTGTTAGGGCCCCAAAAGTAGGTATAGTTTGGAGGATGAAAAATTAAGGCAAGGCTTTACATACTACGTATCAGAATAACCTTACCAAATTAAGCTACCATATTATGGACTGGAAAATTGCTACTTTTCTGTTTTTTTACAAATTTTTTTTCCTAATTAATTGATTTTGTTACAATCAGGTTGCTCTTTTCGGATGTATATTTAATGGCAAGGCCTTTAGGGAATTGGTCAGCCCTGTATTTCTTAAGGCTTACCAGTGGCAAATTTAATTACATTCCCCTCCCCACTTCATAAATATCTAAGGTGATGTTGTTCGGATTCAATTACTCGTGTTTGACATGGGTTTGGTGCAAAATGAAGGGGCTAATTTAAGCACTACTTTATACTTTGTAATAATACTTTTCATGTAAGGAAAAATATATTCATGTGAGATCTTTTTAAATTCGTTGCAATATGTACTATAATAATATATAACTTTTATAATTTTTACTTATGGAAAATTGAAGTTATTAATCGTTAAAATTTTGCATTGACAAGCGTGATAAAAGAAACAGGTCAAGTAAAAAAAACGAAGAAAGTAATAAATTATCATATCATATTATACGGAGTATTCAAGATACACGAACAATGTGACAATTAATTAAGAACAAAGATACACTAATACGATGAATTTGTATGATTTTAAATTGGCCCACTAATGAATTTACTTTAGGGGTCGTTTGGTTGGGGTTAATAATGGAAAGAGAACGAACATGTCTCATTCCCTTTGTTGTTGCTTGTTTGTCAATTTTTTCATATCCTTTACCCATTTTTATTTTTGCGTTTACCCAAAATCAGTCTACATTGATTCCCCACCCCCCCTAGACTTTTCCATTCCCTTTCCTAAGCCACCACTACACCACCATACCCACACCAGCAACTAGTTACCCCCACCGCCCAGCCACCTCGCCAGAACTCGCAGCAGCTTCCCCACCCCCTCGCCGGAATTCGCCGTAGCTTCCCTACTCCTCGCCGGAACTCGTCGCATCTCCATCTCTCCTCACTAGAACCCACTTTTCACCATCGGGTCAATCTCTCTCCTCCTTTTCACGGCGACGCTTTTGCACTTCGACCCATTTTCTCTGTCCTCCCCCCCCCCCCAATTCTCACGGCGGTATTCTTTGACCCAGAAAACCGAACCTCAAGATCTGCATTCTCTTTCTTCGATTAGACCCGGAAACCGAATCTCAAGACAAAGCAAGATTGAGTTTTCTCGAAACCTTAGTGGCTAGGGGAAGGGACGGCCGACGATTTTAAAGGGAGGAGATCGTTTTCTAGGGTTTTGCGTGGGCGGGGGAAAGTTTTGCGTGGCGGCGAGGGGTGGGGGAGGTTCGACGACCGGCGACGAGGGGTGGGGCAGGTCGTGGCTAGCCGGTGGAGTGGCTTAAGAAGTGTGAAAGATGGGTTGTGGGGTGATGGTGGTGATTCCCTTTGTTTTTGTAAATCAAACAACATATTATATGGAAAAGGTTTCATTCCATTCTCTTTCATTCTCTTTGTTTATTCCATTTCGTTTACCCTATGTAAACAAACGACCCCTTAATCCAAACAAGTATGAAAGAGGTCTTTGGGAATGAAGAACAATCAAATTTATATAATATTGTCGACATTTGAGGAATGCTCCCTGAGCAAATCAAGAAGGGACTTCCATCAAGAAGCTCCCTGTGATCAATTTCGAATTTACATAGCAATTCATCCAATTCTTCTTTCCAATTTCACATAATGATGTTTGTTGCACCATTTGTTTACAGGTAATTATTGTTTTATTTCATATGTCAAATCATTATTGATGCATCATGTAATACTCCGTAAGTTGCTTACCTTTATAAAGCAAAGCTGACAAATTATGACACAACATTGTAACCAAAATTAGACTTAATTTTCCATAATAATAATAATAATAATAATAATAATAATAATAATAATAATAATACACCATGAATATGCTTAAACACATACACTACACTAGTCGTCCCTAGGAGATATTTCACTTTTTTTTTTTGACGAGACATTTCATGGCATTATTTGATTAACTATTTTATTATTATTATTATTATTATTATTATTATTATTATTATTATTATTATTATTCTTTTTTTAGCATTGTTCATCATGTAATTAATGTACTCCTTCCGTATTTTAATAAGTATTATAGTTTGACTTTTTTCAATATTCACATAATGGTTTTGACTTGATTAATTTACCAATGAATAAAAAACAAATGTTATTGTATAATATATTGTTGGATTCGTTATAATGTATACTTTCATATTATAAAATTTCCTATGATTTTAGTAAAATATAATTAGATAAATTAATGGTCAAAGTAGTGTCTCGGCATGCGTGTTTGGTCAAACTGTAACACTTATTAAAACACAGAGGGAGTATACTTTATAGCACATTATAAATTATACAAGTAGGTTTTTATCGATCTGATAAATCTGATACAATATTAAAAGATTTAAAACATGAACACGACCCATTTACCTGAAATGGTCATTTTGCTAAAAAACAGTGGTTCATTATTGTCTATTTTTACTCAACAATTGCGATTTTGTTTATAGTATTCATAATTGTCTGAATTTTGCTCATACTTGTCCTTGTTAATCTTGAATTTAGGATCTTGTGGAAGGCGATAGCGCACGAAGCTACCAGGCTGTTAACATACGTTTGTATCATATCATCATATGATGTGCATAGATGAATGGCTAGTACGAAGTACGGAGTATGTCATGTCCAGTTTGCAGAATAAATGTTGTTGATTCGACTCGATATTATTCGGGCTGCAGAAATGTGCTACAAAGTTAACTAATTGTATAAGGATTTTGTCATTTTCAACATGTAAAAATCTGGAATCATAGGGCACTTTGCTGATTTTGGAATTGAGTTGATGTGAAAAGTTTAACTACCTACCATTTTCCATTTTGTTTATGCCTTGTATCCTGAAATGCATTATGGATGTCAACAGTGAGAGCTTCAGAGGAATCCCTTTTTTTTTTTTTTTTTTTACAAAAGCAGAATACAGATAAAACAAAATTAAAGTGAAACAGTAAAATTAACTAGATTATTACGACAATCATTAGCAATCAGGTGTGCTTGTTGAACTTTATCCCGGTCTACCTTGAGGATATTACAGAGTTGAAAATGAGATCCAAGTTGACCAATCTCTTGTAATGTCCAATGCAGGGTCACATTAGTATTGGTTGGCCGCCGAAAAAGAGCAAAACTAGGACCTCAGAATCCGTGTAAACCAAAACATTTATAAAGCTATGACTAAGAGCTCACTTTAGTGCCGAAACGCAAGTTATCACTTCTGCCATAAGTGCTGAGTCATCAGTAATCCCAAAACTCCCTCTGACCTTCATCTCGTCAGTATCTGTGAAGGTAGTTGTCCATCCAATCCCATACTGGTCTGTATCCTTATGCCAAGACCCATCATTTCAATGGCAATGGTATAATCTAAGTGGCCCATAGAATTCCCCACAACAGTCTTCTCATAGCCAAGCCTAGCCTGTAGGAACCCTGGTGGAAAAAGGCGGTTATCATCATAAACCTTAAGGACTCCTAAAGAGCGGAGGTCAGGCTTAAGGTAGTCTTGGAGGCTTTTCCATCTTTTAGATGCTGCATTGTTGTAACAAAAAGAAAGGAAAAGAAACGGTTATAATTTATATATAAATACATTTTTTAAAGTGGTACAAGTTCGAGAGTAGTTTAGGACAAAATAACAGATTTGATTAGTGTTATTGTTGCATAATAATTCTTAATCTTTATTCTTTAATCTTTTTATATACAACCCCATGAATTAATTGTATCCTTTGTACTGAAAAAAATAAATAAACACAAAAACAAAGCTTGAGAGTGGAATTAATAACATACTTTCCCCATTTTTTATTAAACGCATCACACTCTAAAAATGAAAGTTTCAATTTAAATGCATTACTTTCCCTTTTAATTAATAAACTAGTGTGTAGTTCGGACATTGCACCGGGTTGCTACTTTAATTATTCCTTGTGGTTATATGTATTTGATATTTATAATGTCTTTTTTTTTTTAATTAAGCCTTACGATTATCAATTATATATATTTATTTTCATGTTTTAACATAGTTGATAATTGGCTTAGATGGTGAAATAACCACCCTTTTTATAAGAGGTTGGGTGTTTGAATCCCCTTACCATCATTTTTTTATATGAAGCAATATTGGGTAGCGTGGCATAATGATTCAGGTTGATTGAGTAGTGATGATGTGGTATAATGGGAGATAGAGTAGGTGACGTGGCGTGGTCTACGTGGCACATAGACGTTCTTAGTAACGCCTTTTAATATATTAGTATAGATTCTTTCTATTTCTCAACTACTACATGAGTCATATTTATTTTTGTCTCTATCACTATTCACTACTCCAAAAATTGCCAAACAGTCTGCAATTACAAAAAAGTTTTACCTCTAAAGAAAAACAAAGGAAGTAGGATAGATTATGGCCCTGACCTGCTCAGAGGCTGCTCTCAACTCTCATGGCGTTGGCCGGACTCAATAAAGAGTGGCCCTTTATTGAGCACTGACCCGTCCCAACCTGCCAAATAACCAGGCCTGTTAGGTTCTTTAGTTGGCCATTAAACCAATCCAAAACGAATAAGTACTGTACTTAATTTATGACACATATGGGCTTCACCATCAGGTGATTGCCCATCATACAAATGGTCCACAGAAGTATACTGATACTGAAAATTTTACCCTACACCCTAGTGTAGGGTGTGTTCCCTACACCCCCCCTATGCTACGTCGTTTTGTAGCTGGTATTGAGTTCTCATGTGCAGCTTCTTTCCTTTTGCGATTCTTTCCTTTTTTTTTTTTTTTTTTTTTCCTTTTTTTCTTTTTTTCTTTTCTTCCTCTTTTTTCCTTTTTCCTTTGATTCTTATTATTCAATTTATGTATATATATGATTTTAAACCCTATTTTTTCTCTCTCTTCAATTGATCAACCAACCTCCATTTTTGATCTACATTTTTCTCTCGCTAATTCATCTTCTTCATTTGATTTTTTGAACGAATTCGTTAATTGTTACCGATCATCAATGGCGAATTCTGCATCTGGAGATTGCGTTGATTTTGATCGCGATTGCGAGCGTGTGTTTCCTTCTGGACTTCGTTTCGTTGATTCGTTTGTGCAACAATGTGAGTAATTGTGATCATAATTTTTCAATTTTTAATTATCCCTAATTTGTTCTGTTATAATGCTCTGTTAATTTGAACTTAATTGATGTATTATTATTCACTTTCGATTTTTGAATTTACTACTTTGATTACATTATGATGAACGTTTTTGGATTGTTGTACTTTGTATGAACATTTTGTTGCTTCATTTGTTGTTTCATTTGTTGTTTTCTCTGTGTTTTAGAATTGTGTGTTTTTGTCGTATATTTTGTAGATTATACTTTCAATTAATCGTTTATGTTTTCTTATTCATTGTTACTAATGTGTTTATGTTCAGTCTTAAAGTCATTTTTGATCATTTATTTTTACATTTTTATATCGATATTATGTGTAGTGGTAAATAATGAAAATATTGTTCAAAATATTATGTGCTGAAATTCTTTTTGCAATTGATCATGTGCTGTTTTGATATTGAACATTTTACTTATTTGTTATTGTTCATTCATGAAACTCTTTATGATCATTTATAATTGTATATTGTGCAGTGGAAAAAAATGATGATATTATGTATTTAGAAGCAGAACAGTCTGAATTAAAGGATAAAGAATTTAAATCTGAAGATGAAGCTTTCGAAGCGTATAATGAATATGCTTTTAGGAAAGGTTTTGGAATTCGAATTGGGAAGAGTAAGAGAAGAAGAGATGATTCTTTTTTGATGAAAAGATTTGTTTGTTGTAATGAGGGATTCAAAGATAATAAGTGTAAGAATAAAAGGATTTATGAGAAGTTGGATCATCGAACTGGTTGTTTAGCTTTTGTGCAGTTTCATATTGATCATTTAGGGGTCTATACATGTACAAGACATGAAATGGTTCATAATCATGCTATGATTCCTCCTGAAAAAAGGCATTTGATAAGGTCTCAAAGAGATGTGAATAAAGAGCAGCTTCTTTTCATTTCAACAATGAAATTGAGTGGAGTCAAAGTTACTGATTCTTTGAGGGTTCTAAAGAAGGAGGTTGGGGGATCTCCTAATCTTTGTTTTACTGCTTCTGATGCTTATAATGCATTGTCATCTGAAAAAGCTGCCCAAATTGAAGGATGTGATGGTAACCAATTGATTAAATATTTTGCCAAGAGACATGTGGATGAGACAGATTTTTATTATGATTTTGAACAAGATGATAGTGGTGCTTTAGTTAGTTTTTTTTTGGCGTGATGGTAGGATGATGAGAGATTATCATTACTTTGGAGATTTGTTGGTTTTTGATACAACTTATAGAACTAATAAATATGGAATGATATGTGCTCCATTTGTTGGGATGAACCATCATGGTAACAATGTCATGTTTGGTATGGGTTTTATTCTTAATGAGCGCACCGAGTCTTTTGATTGGTTGTTTGATACATTTTTGCACTCAATGGGGAGGAAAAGTCCCATTACAATTATGACTGATCAAGCACAAGCGATTGCAGCGGGTATAAGAAACATTTTTCCTTCAACTGTTCATCATCGTTTATGTGTATGGCATCTTGAACAAAATTCTAAGAAACACATTGGAGCATTGAGAGCTTTGGAAGGCTTTACAGATTTGTTTGGATATCTTTTGAAGTATTGTGAAACTCCTGCTGAATTTGAATATTTCTGGAAAAGGTAAATTATTGTTTTTTATATTTATTTTTTATTTTTATTATGTGATATATTTGATTATTATGTGATATATATATGAACATTTAGTGTTTTACATATGATCATACAATTTACTTTGTTATGTATGTTATCATAATATTATTAGTGTCCATATTGTTTATGATCATTATTCTTTACACAAATGTACATATTTTAATTTATATTTTGTTCATTTTTAAATTAATATATGATCATTTCTGTTATACAGGATGTGTGATAAATACAAATGTGAAAATGATGATTGGTTATGTGATTTGTATAAAATAAAGGAAATGTGGTGTCCTGCTTATTCTAAGAAGTATTGGTCTGGTGGTATATTGTCTTCTCAACGTAGTGAAACTACTAATAAGTCAGTTTCACAACGTCTTAATAAGACTCAAGGTTTATGTGATTTTTATCATGTTTTTCTTGATGTCATTTCTGAGTGGAGAAGTAAGGAAGGTGCAAGAGATTACAATACTCTGAGGGGTAATAGGCACCTAGCTTTTGCTAATATTGGTATATTAGTTCATGCAAGATCATTGTACACTATTCAAGCTTATGTTCTTTTTGAAGAGGAGTTCATTAGGGGGACAGCTTATGATCATGTTGATAATGGTTTGCGTTTTCCAGAATATTCATATCTTCTTTGGAGGCCTGGGAAGGATATAATTAAGCATGAAGTTGTTTTTAATAAGGAAACACATGCAATTTGTTGCACATGCATGTACTTTAGTGAGACTGGTTTACTTTGTTCTCATTCTCTTCGAGTATATCATTTGCATTGTGTGCGTAATATTCCACAAGAGTATATAATGAAACGATGGACAAAGGCTGCCATGTGTAGTCATGGTATTGAAGAACCTACTTTGAGGACAAATGTTGTGGCTACTAGTGTTTGGAGGTCACAAACAATCAGAAAGTTTGTTAAGTTGATAACAAGTTGTCAGAATTCTTTGAATGCAAGGGCAGAGGTTGAGTGTTATTTCAATCTGTTAAAAGAAAAGGTTGAGAGTGTATCAGGTGTAATTGACTTTAGTGAACCTGTTAAAGAGGTTGAAATTGTTGATCTTGAGATCAAGAATCCTCCAAAAGCTAGGCCTAAAGGTGAGAGGAATGTAAGGCCTAAGAGTACCTTGGAGAAGCAGTGTAACAAGGCAAAGGGTAATTTCAAGAGGAAAAAGTCTCTGTACACTCCTTACAAAAGGGGTATAGGGCAAGCAGTTGTACAGGTATATGATCATTTCATATTTTCAAATTGATCATTTCAGTTTTCGTAAATGATCATTTATGTTTTTTTTTTTAAATAGGAACTTGATGAGAACGGTTGTGCTGTTACTTATGCTAATTCTATTAGTGATCCCATTGAATTGATTGTTTTGAGCAATAAACGGGCTCAGGTAAATTCAAATGTGCCAAAAAAAACATTTTATTTATATTTTATTAATATTGATTTTTATAATTTAAAAATATAGGTCGGCTTAAAATCAGCTGTTGTAGAAGAAATTCCTTCTAGTTCTAAGGAATCAAATCATAGTATTTCCAATGATTTTGATCAGGTATATGAACATTTATGATCTATATTATAATTTTTTTTTATTTAATTTTTTATTTTTTATATTTTTTTTTGGTTTTTTTGTAGGCTACTGGTGAAAGCTCTCTTTCATCTATCATATCTATTGATGTTGATATTTCATCTATTGCTAAGGTTTTTTTTTTTTCCATATTTGTTTGTATAAGTGTTTGTAACTGATCATATACTGGTTTATTAATGATCAATTTAATTTTTTTAAAGGCGAAGGATTTAAATCTTGAAGGTGTTTCTGCTGTTCAACCTTGTTCTAATTTTGGTGCAAATGAAGGTGCTTCTGGTGTTAAAACTTACTCTCAAATTAATCCAAGAGTTCCAATTCATACTAGTGCGTCAACAAAATCTCCTGTTGTTATTCAACCTACTGTTCCCAGGAATGTTCAAAATCAAACTCAGAATTGTTCAAACACCAATCCAGAAATGATCATATCCAACTCCAGGAATGTTCAATCAACAAATGTTCAAGTTATTTCTCCTACGGTTCAAATAAATGATCAAGGATTTCCTGTTCAGAATGTTCAAGTTACTCCTCCCACAGTTCAAAGAAATGATCAAGGTGCTCGTGTTCCAATTCTTCAATCAAGAAATGTTCAATTAGGTTCTAAAAAGATTTCTTCTAAATATGATAGGTTGTTAGCCTTTTTTGATACAAGTGTAGCTAAACGTTTGGCTAATAAAGATAAATAATTAGTATTCCAGAACTTTATAAACATTAGACTTTTTTGTAATGTTGATTTAATTACTATTTTGTAATTTTGAATTTTCGATCTATTATATAAAAAACTTTCATTCAAAGATTAAAATGAAATATCAATTACAATAATATTAAAATAAAATCCATAAGTCTACTTCTAAAAAAAAAAAATAGTCATATATAAGAAATGAACATATACATAGTTGTAAATGAACATTTGAAACTACAAAGTTGCAAATTTTCTAGCTTTCCTTCTATTTGCTCTTGATTCAGTGTTTTCTTCAAATAACATCAGTTCTGCTGTGTATTGGAGCCTTAGATTTCTAATTTGTTCCACCTGTTGAACAAAATGAATTGTCAAATTTTAATTAAACAATCTTTACTGTTTCATAAATGAATATTATATCTTAAATAATTGATCATTTATAACTCTTACATTGTTTGGTTTTAAATCACAAATCCAGCTCTCATTAGGATCAGCAGTGAAGGTTTCCATATGCTTCATAATGTAAACTCCACAGTTTGTATAGTCATTGTTGCTACGCCATTTCATCTTTTCCAAAACAACTGTGTAGTCTTCAATTCTTTTTGCATCTTGATATCCAAGGTGTTTCATGTACTCTGCCAATCCTTTTAACTGATAGAAAAAAGAGTAAAAATTGTTTAGAAGTTTGTATTGTGATGAAGACATGAACAATTAATAAAATATAATTGATCATGTAGTCAACTATAAATGAACATATTATCTCACCATCATTTTTGGTTGTTCTTCATATTTTGCTTGGACTGATACCTTTTTTGGTAGTTTTCTATTGTCAATTATATGAATTTTGTCTTCTATATGATTGACGCACAACAGAAAAAAATGTTGAGAAGTTGATACTGGGAAGAAGACCTGAACAAATTATATAATGTTATTGGACAATATATTGAAGGTAATTGAACATTTGTATTAAACAAGAATTAATACCTGTTTATATCCAACAATGCTGTCAATTTTATTCAACTTCAGTTCATTGTCAATTCTTTCTATGAAGGCATTAATTCTTGTCTTCATTGATGATCCTTCTTGACAAACTTTATTTGTGCACATAATGTGCTGTTGAAATACAAACAAACATATAGAAGTTAAATGAATTTTTAGCAATTATTTATCATAGGAAAATAGAATCAATAATATAAAAAAAGAAGAAAGACTAACATGAAGCACTGTTGAGAAATAAATCTTGTTTCTCGGCTTTTTATGATTAAGAAACCTTGCCCATCCATCTATGACACAATTTGTCACTTCAACATCATCTCCAAGAGTTTTCATTTCATTTCTATTGATGAGATTCAAGCCATCATAGTATAAGAGTGCACTGCATTATGAACATTTAATAATATGAATGTGAACATATTTTTATAAAAGATATTAAACCTTAAGTTTAATTAGTGTAAGTAATTACCTTTCATCTTTTCCACCAAGAGCAAAGTCTACTGCAATTTGGTTCATGGCTTTCTCATCTTTAAACAGATCCTTGTACTTGACCAAGTAAGGAGATCGGAAAGCAGGAGGAAGTGTTTTCTTTTCGCGTTTTGGTCTTGTTGTTCAATATAAAATATTGTTAAATTAAGAAAATTATGAGGAACATAAATGAACATTTGAGTGTATATAAATAAATTTGAAATTATACCTTTCAACCTTTTCCTTTTCAGTTTTTTTCTTCTTTTCTGCAATTGACTTTTTCTTATCATCATTCCTGGTCATATTACATAACACAAATGTACATTTAGGTATATGAAAATGTTCATTATTATTTTTGAACATTTACTTAATATAAATAATGTACCTTTTTGTGACTTTTGAGGATGAAGCAACAATCTTCTTGTTTTCACTGAAAAGTGAAACAATGTCAGTACATATTAATAAAATAAAAGCTTCTTATGTAACACCCTGAATCATTTTCAATTCATAAAATGAAAGATATTGATTTAACATAAACCTATTGATTTAACATAAACCACACATTCATATTACATATTCAACAAAATAATGTTCACACATACAATAGTTTGAGAAACACCAGTTTCAAGTTACAACACGATAGTAACATAAGTTAAATTGTTCCATCTAGATATTTTATCCTACACCATTACATAACCCTAATAGTAAGACATGTCTTCAGGATTTTACCCCTCCACTTTTTCATCATTTTTTGTTTTTTCAAAAACATCTTCCTTGTTTTGTTTTCCACCTCCAACTGTGTTTTTTGGATCATCACTTTTTTCACCACCATCTGACCTAGGGTCAGCATCAACCACTGAACCAGATCCTGCATCTAAGAAAAAATTTAATTAGATATAATATAATTTCTTTGTAAATGAACATTTGAGTATTTATAATTGAACATTATACCTGTTCTAGGCAATCCTTCATTATCTGACCTAGTGTCAGCATCAAGTTTTGAACCAGTTGCTGCGTCTAACAAAATAATACAATTAATAATGAATATTTCTTGTTTGTAAATGAACATTTTACACTTTTTAATTGAACATTATACCAGTTCTAGAAAATTCTTCAATTCTTTGTTCTGAAGCTGCTGAAGTTTTACCCACATCCTTTTCTCCAGCTGTATTATAAATCATCATTTTGGAGATACACTAAGTTAATAGTATTTACACATAATAATTAGAAATGAACATTTCTACTTAAGTTTATGTACATTATTATTAAATATATGAACATATTACCATTTGTTGAAATTATTGGTTGTTCAATTATATCACCAAGTGTTGAAAAGGTGGGCCCTGTTTCTGTTTAGGACAATTTAGACCACAAATTTAGAATTTTTCATATAAAAATTAGGATATATAGTCTCTTTTAGTTAGAATTTACCAATGGCTGGAGAAGGTGGAGTCAACCCCAAGCTGAAAGCTTTTCTGATGTCATATTCTTGTTCTTTTTCCTTTCCCTTTTTGGTTAATTTCTTCCCAGTCATTTGCTTCTCAGTTGTTTGCTTTTCAGACCCTTGCATCAGATTCTTCTCAGCTTGTGCAAGTGCATTTAGGAAATCCTCACTGCCAAAGAATTCTTCATCTTGGCTTAGAATTGATGGTTCCCTAGCTACCACCTTTCCTAAAACTTCATCAACTTTTTTCACCAAGTCATTTCCAGGGAAGATATCCTTTGCCTTCACCAATTTTGAAGAAAGCTTTGACAGGTTTGAACAAGTTGTTTTTACCAGGGAAACAAAATCATCCATAAAAACCTATATGAATGAATATTAAAAATTATGCAGTTGAACATTTCAGATTATACAAATGAACATTTATGTTAACAAAAGTGATCATTTTATAACCTTAGGACTTTCTTCAACTTCTGCAGCAATCCTTGGTAGAATTTTCCCTCTCCCAAATCCCAATTCTAATTCAATCTTCAACCTCTCAAGAACCATGTCTCTATTCCATGCAGATATGATAGGAATTGTTCTTGGAGGCCTTTTGTCTAACCTCTGAACTCTATCAAAATAGAACAACTACAAGAAAAAAGAAAACATGGAACAGAACATAAACAATAAAAAAAAGTGCATTTATTTAAATTTAAATGAACATCTTGTATCTAAGAATATACCATCAGAAATTGAAGAGGGCCTTTGTAGAACCCCTTGCCTTGCTGCTTTCTCCAATCAACATGACATTTGATAAGTGAGTCATATACAAACTGACACCAGTTCAAATTTTTTATGTTTTCTTTGTCCATCATAGAATAAAGAAATTTGAAATGGCATTGATTGTTTGATACACATTTCATCAAGCAGTTCACAGCCACTGCTAAAAAGTTAGTAATGAAATGTTCACTTGGTGGTCTGTTGTTGGTGAATTTATCATTTATGTATCCATTCACAATCTGCAAACAAAATGAACAAAACATTTATACTTTTGATCATTTAATGTATTTAAAATGAACATTTAAAACTGATCATACCTGACTCACTGATGGAGTTTTTCCTGACCATGATTTTCTCCATTTCTTCAGAAATTCTGCATACTCCTCACTAATTTTATCAGACTTTGGCTCAACAATTGGAATTTCTCCTGTAGGCAAGCCATAAACTACCCTAACATCCTCTACCTCAATTTCTATTTTTTCATTCTTTGGTAGTTCAAAATACTGGCTATTTTCTTCAAAACTTCCCAATAACCAGTTACAGAACTTTTGATCAAGTTGAGGTAAACTAATGTCAAGAAGTGATCCTAACCCTATATCAATAATTTGTTGTTTTTGGGTAGGTGTCATCTTTTTTATCCATGCAATGAACTTCACATGTCCTCCTCTCTTTGAAGATTTCTCTTCCTCAAATTCATCTTCCTGAATTTCCTCAACTTCATCAGTTTCTATTGCTTGAACCATTTCAGTTTTCATTTTCTTTTTTCTCCTACCTTCAATCTTTCCTTCATCATACAGTACCATCTTTTGCTCCTCCTTTTCAACCTTTGCCTTCACTGAATTCCCTTTCTTTGCCTGTTTCTTCCTTGGCTTTACTTCTTCCTCTTCCTCCTCTTCCTCCACCTCATAATCATCCTCACTGACAGGCTCTTCTTCTGCTCTATAAACTGACTCTTCACTATCATCATCACTGTCAGGATCTTGAGAGGGTTCATCTGATGGTACTTCTTGTATTTTTTTTCTCTTTCCAGCATTTCTCTTGGCAGGACTGACATCTGAAAATTAAATATATAATTTTGTTTAAGTATTGAAAATGTACAGTAAGCAAATGATAAAATGAACAAAATTGTTTTCTCAAATGATCATTCTATATATAGAAATTGAACATTTATAATATATCATTATATACCTGCTTTTCTTTTGCCAGCAACCTTAGAAGTTTTCTTCACTTCTAGAGTTTTCTTTTTCCCACCTATATATTGAAATTGAACATTAATGATATACCATCATAAATGATCATTCTATACATTAAGATTGAACATTTACCCTTTTTGCCTTGGTCTGGAGGATATTCAGCAGGAGCACCT